GGGGGCTGGCTGCTCCAGGGGCGTGTGGGTGCGAGCACAGGCAGGGCGGCCTGGCAGGCAGAGATAGCAGCTCCGCTTCAATTCTGCATCCCTTTTCTAGACAAACCCCCCCGTCGGATTTTCATAAATCAAAGCGCCACACTGTTTAATAAAAATTTATTGACTTACAAGTGATTATTTATCAAAAGGCCATTAATAGCGGCTCCGGGAATGATGTGCTACTGGGTGGTGCGGGGAGACTAATAGCAAATCAATGCCAGCATCCGGGCAGAATGCATATGAGGGCCCCTGGCCCCAGCGGGCTGCATGGTTGCTGCAGCCAGAGCGAGCAGCCCCTACCCTGCGGGCCGCCCAGTGCTCCCCCCAGTTATTTATCGCTTACAAATGAAATGATCGATACTTTTAATCTAGAGCTAAATTTATTAACTTTCCCATCGGAGAGAGACATATTGACTGGGAGCATGGGGAGGGGGAGCCGAGGAAAGATGGATGTGTGCCTCCTAACCTGTCCAGCCAGCTCCCTGCCTGCTGCAGAGCATCCCGGCAGCAGCAGGGCTGCTGGGGATGGTCCCTGAGCACAGCAGGGTGGTTGGAGGTCCCGCAGAGCTGGGGAGGCGGGCAGGCAGGGGAGGGCTCCTGCACATCACCACGGCATCTGAGACAAGGGCTGGGGGGGCAAGCTGTGGGCAGAAGACGTGTGGGCACCTGCAGCCAGTTCTGAGTGCCTGGGGGTGCAGCTGAAGGCACCAGAGCGTGCGTGAGGCCCGCCCTGGGGAGAGCCCCTGCCCATGCTTGCAGCAGCTGTGGAGCAGTGTTTGCACAGCCTGAAGAGACGAGAGCTCTGGGTGCACAGCCCTGGAGGACAGGAAGGGTGTGGGTGAGTGCTTGGGAGCATGCTGCTGGCTGGGGAAAGGCGAGAGCCTGGAGACCCGGACCAGGCCAGGGGGCACAGGCAGGCAGTGATGCCCATGTCCCCAGCCCAGCACTGTGTCCCCGGCTGCAGCTCAGCATATGGGAAAGGGGCACTCACAGGACCCAGCAAGCATGGCACTGCCTGGGTACCCCATGGCTCTTTGGGGCTGGGGCACGCCCCCAGAGCCGGCCAGGCCATGGGGGGGGGGGGGGGTGTGTGTGTGTGTGTGTGTGTGTCTCCAAACGGCCCCCTGAGGAAGGGAAAAGCTTTGCAAGCCTTGGGGCCAGAGCCGCAAAGCTCAGTCAGGCAAAACTGGAGCTGGGTCAGGCCATCACCCCCAGCCAGAGGCTGCCAGGGCTGCCATGGAGGTCAGCAATAGCTTTTGGGGCAAGCATGTGACTCAAGCAGGAACTGGAGCAAATACAGCTCAGAAAATATTATGATTAAATGGTATAGGCAAGTACTACAGGGTGACACACACCTGCTGTATAACTGAAGCTTAACTATGCTACAGGTTAACTCCCATAAGGCATATGCTGTACCCAGCATTTCTTATACAACTAGAAGATGATAGTCAAAAACTCTGCATAAATGTAACAGCTGCCAAGGAGATAAGGGTTGCGCTTTTCTTTTTCCTTTTTTCTTTTCTTTTCTTTTCTTTATTAAATAGCAAAGCAACAGCCCCATCGGTTAATGGACACAGATGTAGGATTGGTGAACTGGTGTTAGGAGCTGTACCTAATAAGTTGGGTAAAACAAGTAAACCAAAATGCTGCGGACTAGACCCTTAATGCCATAATAAACTCCTAATGAAGGAGGGGCTCCTAGCCTGGGTAACTGAGATATCTATTAGTAATGAGCAATTGTTTTGTCTTCCATTGGTAGCACAGGAGCATAAGCAATACACTTCAACCCTGTAGATGTTAACTATCTCCTGCTTGGCTTCAGTTGCTTTTGTTTCGTTCTCTTAGGTGGAAAGGAAAAGATGCCGGGCTTTGTTTCTTTTTCTGTGTGTCGTCCCCCCCCCCCCCCCCCCCCCCCCGATCAATTGCCGTAGCTGAAGTTGGGCAGAAGACAAGAATAAGA